AGCGGGAATTTTTGAACAAAAAAGATTTTTAGCGCAATAAGCGTTTGGTAAAAAAACTTTAGTTAAACAACTTTTTCAGCTTCAGAAATAATGTAACTGGGTGTTGGTTGGATAATGCTGCGTAGAAACTGTGAGGTCTGATTCTGAAAGTCTTTAATCATCTTTCACGAATTAGCGTTTTCCTATTGTTTTTGCTATTCACTGATTACTGGATAAAACAGTTGACTAATTATCTTCGTGGTGGTCCCTCATTTTCCAATCTAATTGGCGATAATTTTAAAAAGAAACGATTGGTACACTTTGACGTTCGTTGCCGTAGCACGCGATTGGCCAATGTTATTAGCAGCGACTCTTTTGAAACTTCAGAGAATTGAGTTAACAGTCAAATTTGTTTATAGGTAAAATCAAAAAGAACTTACAAAAATTTGTTTAGTATGAAGACGGAATAAGGAAGAGATTAGTAAGGGATTATTTGACAACCGATTTTATTCGATAATTATTGAAATTTTTCAACTTTTTTTGTAGCATAGGTCTTTAATTATTGGTATTTCTGTGATATAATCTTAAGGTTTGAATTTTATTGTAATATGCATAACTCCATCATACATGAGTGGAACATAGAGTAAGGGTTGAATATTGCAGGAAAAAACTGTATTGGTGTTGGGCATTACTTAAAAGTTCTTCAATTTCAATGTTCCGCTTTTCTCACTCATATAACTTTTATTACTGTATGTTGAGATCTTAACTTAAACCTTCTTAGATAGCATCACGCGACTGGTTAAAAAAAAAGCAATTTGAGATATTGACTAAAAAGAAAGCCGTACTGCCATAATGCTATGTACTTGTCCAGAGTAATCTTCAAATAAAATTTTTGTAGATATCAAGCTTTCTCAAACTTTTCTGTTGATTACTGGTAATCCGGCATAATAAAACATTTTTAAAAACAGTAAATCTTCTCTTTCAGATGTAGAAAAAATTGCAGAACTAAATGAAAATGTAGTTTAGATGGTTCGTTGCATATTCAAAGCATTTTTGTAATGTTGAAACCCAAGCCATACCCATCAGTAATCTGTGCAAGAAACTCATCAGTAATCTCATTACAGCACACACTTATGTGACAGTGGCAGAGCGACTGAAGGAGACTTAGAAAGGAAGCAAAAAATTTGGTAGAAAAGCATAAAGGCACCAGTAACCGTATGTGTTTAATTGATGAACTGAAGTAAACAGAAGAACCGCAGGCTGTTAATGCTTGTCTTTGGGTAAACTTCCAGTTACAAAAGTTTTTTTACCTGTTCGCTGTTTTTGCCAAGAATGGACTCTTTAAGGTGAAAATATGTTCTAAATCAGCGAAATATAAGTGGTATAAAACTTGTTGAAACAAATAGTGTAAGAAACCCATTGGTGATCGAAAACAACGACCAACAATTGTTGAAGTTTTTTTTGAAAAAATAGCTCACGACATGGAATATTTGTACCAGAGTAAATCAAATCGGTGTCATCATTCAATCATTTACTTAAAATTTTAATGATTTGGGTCTCAAACGGTAAACAACTTTAGAACTGGTAAAGCAGGAAGTATTCTGTACTTGAAGTAGTCTGATCACCTACAGTTAAATTGCACAACAATTTACATAACAATCCATTTACAGCTAATACATTTTCATAATTGAAAAATCTTTAGAACGAAAATCGTTATGTGGAGCTTGTTTGATACCCATCTGCATTATGATGTTTTCTTTCAGGCCAATAAAGATCAGTTATTCTTCTTAAAATAAACAGTTTGATATTGGTTTAAAACACTAATTCAGAGCGCATACGTCTTCTTCTGACTTAAAAATTACTTCCCCGTTTTCATTGTTGTGTATAAAATAATTCATTGTCTTCAATCTTGCAAAAAGTAATTTCAGAACTTTAATCATCATTTGGCTTAGTGGTCAATAACAGCGTGTGGGCTGATAGAAACAACCATTCAGACACAAAACTACTTTTTTTGGTTTTAAAGACCTAATAATCTTTAACAAGTTATATTTTTGCCAATGTACATTTTCTCTTTACAGCAGTCATCAGATTAGAGGTGTTTTTCCTCTTTAACTCCTTGGTAGCGCAATGTTATCATAGAAGTACGAACGTTTTTGAGGACATTACTGTAATCTAAAAAGGTGGCCTTCTGCTTCTCGAGTATGGTAATCAAACAATCCATTAGGCAAGTGGTAATTTGACAGCATCAGGCTTTCAGTGAAGAGCAAATAATCAATGTTGTTCGTGAATCGATGGCCGATTTATTCATTCTTATTGGGAAGTCACTTTCAACATCTCTATTTAGACAACTGATAATTAATTGCACTGATTATGAGTGATAAAACTGAGAGCGTCAAGAAAGGTGCTCCCGCTTATTGTGTACAATTATTCAATCATCTTACAGTAACAGCCACCTCAAAAACATCCAAATTGTTTATTGGTTTGCTTATTGGTATTAATGACCAGAAAAGTAATTTTTACTTAACTACTCTTTTATCTGGTTTATTTTAGAACAACAGTAAACTGTTGTTAAATCATTTATCAAACCATTTTCATCCCATTTAATAGTTTTAAGTAGGACTTCCGATAAAAAAGTGACCTGGCAGAATACTTTATTGGGCGTTTTTTGGTAACTTTTTCTTGCACGGAATAACAATTAGCTGCCAAAAACAGTACAAAAAAAAAAAAA